GGGCTGGGGGCAGCTCGCACCTGCTGAGCCCTGCGGCTGGTTTTGCAGAACAGGCGGCTGCCTCCGAGGGGAAGGGGTGTCCCTGGAGGAAAAGGGAGCTGGGGTTCAGGGTGGGCTTTGCTGTACCGCAGGTGTCAGGGTGTTTGCGAGCTGGGGTACGGAGGGGTTGGTGCGAGGGAGCTGATGGGCACAGGGTAGGTGGGGGAGGAGGGGGATGAGGAGGGGAGGGAGAAGAAAAGTGTCTTGAGGGTCTAAAGGAGCAGAGAACTTGCCAGGAGCAGCATGTGGCAAGGTGCCAGGGGGATCCTGGGGTTGTGCTGATGTTTGGGCAGCCCCCCAGACAGGGTCCCAACTTTCCTGCCTGGCTCTCAGGGTTCCCTCCTGCCTAAGCCCGAGGGACAGAGGGAGGAGATGGCACCGTAGCCATGGGCTCTTTGCGGGCACAGGGTGGTGTCGGCCACTCCCAGGCTCCTGGCAGCTCCATGTGGGTGCCTAGGCTGGGTCCTGCTGTGTTTTGTCCTTTGCTGGAGGATGCTAGGGGCTGTGTCTGGGGCCTGGAGCTCAACCTGGCAGCTGAGATCCCTGTTCTCATTGGAAACAGCAAATGGTGGCCCTCACATGCAGCCTCCTGGCTGTTGTGGCACACCTGGGGAAGGAGGGAAGCAGGCGGCGAAGACAAAATCAAAGACAAATACCACCTTGTGTTTAAGTAATGCTTTGATTCGTGGGGCAAGTTTTTGGTAGTTTTCTGGGGGTATGGTTTGAAAACGTCCAATTTCAGAGCACAGCCCCGGGACCTTTGTGCTGCTGCATGTGCCAGGCAGGGAGTAGCCAGGGAGGGAGAGGGCGTGAGCTGTGGCTCTCATCCATGTGCCAACGGCCCTGCCCTGGGAGGAGAGCAGAACCTGCACAAGCTGCCGTGGCTGTCACTGCACTGCCCAGGAGGCAGCAGGACCACGGTCCCTGGAGGAGGCACCCAACTGCCTTTCTGCTTCACCTCCATCACTGTCAGCTCTCCCTTGGGACCGCCAGCCCTGTGCTGAGGCTGGTCACTGTGACCAGCACCACCTGCAAGTGCTGTGGCTGTCAGCACATATGGGCAAGCAGATGCTCCTCCAGATACATCCCATCTACCAGGGCATCAGTCACCCCCACAGCCCCAGTGCAACCCTCAGGAGGACGAGGGGTCTGCAGCCATGAGAAGGACAATGCCCACTGCAGGTTGGGATGCTGGGGAGCACGAGCATCTCACTCGCTTTCCCACTCCCATGTGCCCAACCTGCTGGGTGCCCCCTGCGTGGCACCTGGGACCAGGCTTCCACCATGAGCTCGTGGCTCATCGTAACCTGCTTTGTCGTCCCTCTCCCCCACCCACCCCAGGGCTGTCTGGCTTCAGCCTCGTTCCTCCTAACACAGAGCTGCTGGAGCAGGGATGGGCTGGGAACAGGACAGGGTGATGAAGCTCTGCCACTCCAACCCCGTCTTTCATCTTGTTGCTCCAGCAGATTGTTTGGAGCATCCCCCGTTTTGGGGGGATGAGGTTCCCAGACCAGACTTCCACAACCTCGAGGTTGTCCTGCGGTCTTTATGGAGCAGGTTTGCCAAGTGTGCCCAGATGCAAGCAAAGGCTGGGGGAGAGGGAGGAGACCTGGAGCCCTGCTCTGGCAGAGGGTGGGATGTCCGTGTGCAGCCAGGAGCTGCTCTGCCTCGTTCCTTGGTTTTACACAGCCAAACAGCTTGGTGGTGGTGTTGTGAAAATCCAGCCAACCCCCTGCAGCTTTTCCAAAGCGAAAGTGACTTTTTCACTTCCAGGGGGACACTTTGAAATCGAGGTATGGCTGCTCACAAGTTGCTGCACAAATATTACGGGCTGCATTTGCAGTGCTCCGTGCCACCGATGCCCTGCCCACTGGCAGCTGCCCAGCTAAATCCTTGGAGGTTGGCAGCTCAAAAGGCAACAGGACTTTAATATCAAGCTGAGTTTTATGGCCTTTTATCTCAGCACTTGAAAAGACGTGACAGAAGTTTATGTGTCCAAGGCCCAGGGTGTGTCCAGCCATCCCTTGATGATTCTGTCTTGACTCGTTATTAAAGAAGGATGAATTAGGTCTGTGCTTTGAGGCTACCCTGGAAGATGGGTGATTTGGTCCTCCTGTACTTAATCTTTTCCTCGTGGCCTTTGCTGTAATGGGAGATGGGATTTGCTGAGTGCTCAGGGGATGTTTTTGCTGTGTTTTTCGCTGACGGGCTGAAAGGACTTCCCCACCCTTTCATCTCTCCACTAACTGGCATCTCCCCACGCTGCTGCAGCTGGCACGGCTCGCTGGGGCGGAGCAAGGGAAAAGGATTTTCCTGGCTTCAAAACCTGCCCATCTCGGTTGCAAGAGAAACAAAATTCACTAGTGAGTGGAGGCGTGAGAAATTTTGCTGAAGGAGGTCACAGGCATGTCCAGGGATGAGGATAACTGCTGGCACTGGGGCTTGGCCAGGAGGACCCCCCAAGTCAAACCTGTGAAGAGCCTGAGCTGGGGTCAGTCAGTGTCGGAGAGCTGTGCTCAGGGGCTGCAGGAGGCAAACACAGGGATTTCTTTGGTCAGCTGGTACCTTTTAACCATAAAAAAAAAAAATAAATCAACATATTGGCTACCAGGTCCTGACAAACAGCAAAGCTTCCCTGGCTGTCCCCTGCAGAGTTGCTTCCCCAAGGTTTCCCTATTTCTCACCCTTCAGCTATGGGGGATGAGTTACTGTGCGACAAATCCCTCTGAGCACAGCGGACAAGGTAAATGAGATACCAACACCTTGCCACGTGTTACCCGTGTATCCAGTGACTGTCTTGGGGAGCCAAGTGTGAACGCCGAGGGAGATGTCTCCTGAGGTCGATGCTGTGTTGGTTCCAGCCCTGTGCTGTGGCGATTTCTGTGAGTGCTCAGTGGATTTCCGTGGCCGCTGCAGGATACAGTGGGATCCAACGCTGTAGGTACAAGAGTGCGTCTTTCCAGGAGTTTCCCTGGGCTGTTAGTAGCTAAGTCACCAAGTGATTGGTTGGTCTTTGTGCTGGATGCTCCCCTGGGAATTCAGACATCACTGCACAAAACATCTACTTCCATTTTCCTTCCCTGGTTTAAGTGTGTTTCACATTTTTTCATTTATTGAGTCAGGGCTTACACAACAAGAAGTTATAAGACAACCCATTTGCAGCTTATGTTTCACATTTCCATCTTCCAGAAAGGAGATGCTTTGAAATTTCCTTTACATCAAATCTTCTACTTCGGCTGCTGTCTCTGGCCCTGCTGGGTACCAGAGGCAGAGCCACGCTCCGGCACTGCAGCCGCAGAGCTCAGGTTCCAGCTTTGTCTTGTTTGTTTACCATGGCCAAATGCTGAGTTGTGGATGGCACTGTGTGTTCTTAGTCATGTGTGGGTGCAGGGAAAACAGTCCCTGTTTAGGATTTGGCTTCTGGATCCACACAAGGGATCCTGCTGCCCTGGGCAGGACAGAGAGGTGCTACTGGGCTCTCAACACCACGGACTCATTCAACAGCTCCAAAGCTCCAAATCTGGCATTTCCCAAGGCCTCACCCTCTGTTTATTGTCGGTTCGACCATCCTGGAAACTCTTAGTGTGATAGGAAATAGCTGAAGGGAGGGGTGTGTTTTGCTTTTGGGGGGAGATGCAAACAGTTGCTTTGTTTTCCTCCTTTCTTCCTTAACCTGCCAGGAAAAGCAAGGTCTTGATCTGATCAGTGCTTGCATGTAAGGACGTTGCTGGGCTCTGGCCAGAACACCAACCCTACTGCCCCAGCGGACCCATCAAGCTGGGCACCCCGAATCCAGGGCACAGGGGTGCTGTGGTGGGGCAGCTGCCCTGCCCCGTCATTGCTGGGGACTTTGAGCCTTTTGCACATGCCTGAGCAGAGGACAAACCATTCTTGGTTTTGCTTTTGTGCCCTGCTCTGCTGAGATCAGGGATCGCTTCGAGGCACTGTCTCCTCCTGGGTGGAAAGGGCTGGGCAGAGGCTCTGCTGGAGCTGCCCCAATCACCCCTGGGACTGTTTCCTCTCTGCTCTCCACACTGTAGCGATCTGTGTGTTTCAGGAGGAAGAGGATGGATGTGCTGCTGCGGGCATGGGCTGGGCTGCTGCTCCTGTCCCTGCTCTGTGCCACTGGCCTCTGCCAAAGGAGCAAAAGTGAGTGCAGCCGTGGTGGGTCTGTCTGCTGTCTCCCCTTGGTGCTGCCCCATGGGGACTGTGTGTGTTCCTCTTGGGCTCCAGAAGCGCTGGTCCTCACGTCGAGAAGACCTGCTGTGTGCCTTTCCTCCTGTTTCCTACCTCCCCAGCATCTGGGGCCCCTCTCTTGCTACCCTACTGCTGGTTTGTAGCCAGCTTCCCCTATCCACCCCAAGAATCAGCCCTTCCAATGCCCTCACTCGCTTCTCCCCACCCCTGATGCTCTGCCCTTCCCGGCAGGTAACCGCTGCGTGCTGTCCCGGGCGAAGAGCTGCACGGAGTGCATCCGTGTGGACAAGGACTGCTCCTTCTGCACCGACGAGGTGAGAGCTGGCCGGGGAGCCCAGGGCTTTCCACCCCTCCTGATGGAGGGATCCTACCAGCCCCAGTGAAAGGGCTGAGAGCAGGGCTGGCTTCTGGCTCCAGCTTCTGCAAAGAGCTGGTCTGGGTGGGAAGCACCCAAATGTTGGTTTCCCTTGGTGTGGCCAAATGGGGAGGAAGGGGAGTCTGCAGCAGACTTGGGGAGTTACAGGAGTCCATCAGAAAATGCCAGTGTGCCAGATCTGAAACTGTGTGTGAGGGATGAAGGGAGAGTCTTATCCCAGCCAACTCGGTAACTCACTGGTGGTCACACTTCCCTGCTGCTGGGGACATGGGCTCTTCAGCGTGAGACTCGTCCCAGCTCCTGCTCCCAAGGGCTCAGTGGTGGCCTCAGCAGAGGAGCCCCCGTCTCCGCATGCTGACAAGTGCCTTTCCCCTGGCACGGAGCGTCTGCTCCTTCCTGGGGCCGTGACGTTTTCTTGCCCCCTGGGCAGGGTTTCGAAGAGCCTCGCTGCGACCTGCGGGAGAACCTGCTGCGGTACGGCTGCGGGGAGGCCAGCCTCGTCTACACCAGCGGCGAGATGCGGGCACAGCAGGTGGGTGCTGGGGGCACCGCCCCTGCTCGCCTGCTTCTGAGGGGTCCCACCGTGCCCACTGTCCTTCACATCCTCCGTCTAGAGCATTCATCAGGAAAAATACCTAGCCCAGACTTCTGTTTGTGTAGGGTCTACTCCAAACCAATGCTCTGCCTTTGCTAGCTGATGAACCTGTAGATGACCAGTCCCGGTTGCTGAGGGCTAGGGTGGCTTCTCAGGCAAAACAGGTGTAAGCAAAATGCCAAGGTGTGGAGGAGGTGCCCAGCTGGACACACATGGAGATGGGGAAGGCTGCCTCAGTCCCTGGCTGTACATGATGGAAGGCAGTGTGGCCACCCCTGCCTTTCCACTTCCCACTTATCTCCCTACCCCTTGTTTCCTCCTCATTGCATCTGTGCAGGAGATGGAGTTCATCCCCATCACATCACTCTTTCTTCACAGAACTTCAGTATCAACATGTCACTGCAGAGGACCCAGGTGTCCCCCCAGAGCATGTTCATGAGAATGCGAGCTGGGGAGGAGATGAGCTTCAACATGGATGTCTTCCAGCCCTTGGAGAGCCCCGTGGATCTCTACATCCTCATGGACTTCTCCTACTCTATGTCTGATGATCTGGACAACCTCAAAAGCATGGGCCAAAACCTAGGTGAGACTAAAGCTGGGAGAAAAGGGGAGCTGTCTCCTGTGCCAATGAAGGCAAGCAGTTCACTCCTGACCACAGCTGTGGGTTCTCTGCCAACAGCAGAGAAAAGGATGCAACTGGCAAAGCGCTCAGAGGCGTCTGCATTTGAGTTTCTTACCGTTGCTGCTTTGTGCAGCTTGGTGGGGGATGTCTCTCCTGGCCCTGCAAGGATCATCACGTGTGCTCTCTCCTTTCAGCCCATGAAGGCTGGCACCCTGCAGAGCTGATCTGTGCAGTGGCTTTGGCATATTGAACCCGCAGGTGTCGTGTGTGCTATTGCAGAATCTCCAGTCTTGGAAAGGGGCTACCAAAGCTGGTATAGGTTTCTACTCCAAAAAAAAAGTGAAGCCTCAAGCCCAAAGAGCTTAAAAGCTGGCAGTTTGGGATTCTTATCTAAGACCTGACCAGGGGAGAAGATGCCCAGGAAAAAACTTCTTTCCCTGGAGCAGTGACCTTGCAGACATCTCTTTACTTACATGTCTCCTCCTTCCTCCTTTCCTCTCCTCCCAGCGGAGTTCCTGCGAGAGCTGACCTCCAATTACACCATTGGATTCGGCAAGTTTGTGGACAAAGTCTCATCCCCTCAGACAGACATGAGACCTGAGAAGTGAGTGAGGCCAATGGGTCCCTGGAATTTAAGCAGAGAGGGGAGGACAGGTGCCTTCTGTTTCTCCATGGCTTTGCTGATCTTCACTGTCTGAGATGCATGAGCCTCTGTCCAACTCTCTCCCTCTGTTGCGAATGTCTCCCCTGGGCGCCCCACCCTGTGCCCGGGGCTTGCTGCAGCTCCACGGCAGTGTCAGCAGTGCTCTCCTCTGCTCTCAGACCTTCCCCGCTCTGCCACGACTGATTGCATGTCTTGTCTTCTCCTCCACCTCTGCCCTCAACCCTTCTACCTCTCTGTGCTGATGGTTTGCCAGCTCAGCTTCATATCTTCTCTTGAGGAACTCTCCAGCCCCCAGGTGCTCTCCCCACTCTTCCTCTCCTCGCCCTCAGGCATCCCTTTGCTCCTGCCTCCCCCGAAACCCTGACTCTCCCCTTCTCCCCTAGGCTGCGCGAGCCCTGGAACAACGCCGACTCCCCCTTCTCCTTCAAGAACGTCATCCGCCTGACCAGCAACATCCACCACTTCAGCCAGGAGCTCAGGAAGGAGCGCATCTCGGGCAACCTGGATGCCCCCGAGGGCGGCTTCGACGCCATCCTGCAAACAGCCGTGTGCAAGGTGAGGGGCCGGGGCTGCGGGACCCGAGTGGGCAGGACTCTGCTTGAACCAGTGAGTCTTCTGGGTACTGGGTGAGGAGTAAAGGAGCAGCATTCTGGGCAGCCGAGGAGACAGCCAGGGAGCCCAGGCTGAACCTTCAGCTACAGCTGGTTCTGCTCCGCCCAGCCGCACGCTCCTGGTGCCGAGATGTTCTTCATTCCCCTTTTTCCTGAGGTCTTAGGCCATCCGTGTGCGTGTCGCTGGTGTCTGGGCTGCTCCTCTGCTGGGGATCTGTCCTGCCTCATGACCACAGTGCTGAAACTCTGCTCCCTGGAAATCAGCCTGCTTGGGCTTGGCCTTTTGCCTGAGGGAGGAGCACAGCTCCAAACACATCGCAAAAAGTGCGGGCTTGCCCTTTATACATATATACGTGTAACACTGAGCTGCTGGGAGACATCCTGTGCACTGAGGGTGCAGGTGGGGGAAGCAGAGACCTGCTGGCTTGGATTCCCAGGCCACGTAGCTGGTTGTGTGTGATGCCAAATGGAGGTGGTGCCTTGTCCCTGGAGTTTTCCAGCTCCTGCCAGCGTTGGCTGCCAAAAGCTACAAGTGCTATGCGGTGATTGGGGGAGCACAGAGCTAAAGGTTCCTTCTCCCCCTTCCCTGGCTTAGGATAAGATTGGCTGGAGGAAGGACAGCACTCACCTGCTCGTGTTCTCCACTGAATCTGCCTTTCACTATGAAGCTGATGGTAGCAACGTCCTGGCAGGGATCCTGGCGAGAAACGATGAGCAGTGTCACCTGGACACCGATGGCACCTACGTGTATGATACCAAGCAGGACTATCCTTCAGTGCCCACCCTGGTGCGCCTCTTGGGCCAGCACAACATCATCCCCATTTTTGCTGTCACCAACCACTCCTACAGCTACTATGAGGTGAGGAGACCACTGCAGTGGTACCATGTGGGCTTGCCTTTCCTCCAGGACCATTGCTCCTCTGCCTGCAGCTCAGCTGTGAGGAGAAAGTGTTCTCCTCTCTCTTGTCCCCAAGTGCTAACCCAACACCTTGATACTTTGGGAGGGTGTCACAGTGTGTTGAGGGGCTGCTCTGGGTCATGGGAGGTTTATTACAGTGGGAAGGCAGCTGGGCTCCAAGAGATCTCCCCACAATGATATCTGTTTCTTGTGTAGCAGTGGGGACACAGAGCTGGAGAGTAATTTAGGTTGGAAGGGACCTTTGGAGGTCTCCAATCCAAGCCCTGCTCAAAGCCGGGTCCCTACAAAGCAGAGTCCACTTCAGTGCTAGAGGAGGTTCCTCAAAGCCTTGGCTCAGGAATCACTTGTATCTCTGCAGAAGCTGCACAAGTATTTCCCCATCTCTGAGATCGGGGTGCTCCAGGAGGACTCGTCCAACATCGTGGAGCTGCTGCGCATAGCCTTTGAGGTAACTGTGCTCTCTGAGGCTTCACTCTCCCTCCCAGGGAGGGAAGAGGGTGGGCACCTCATGGCCAGGGCAGCAAGCAGGGGGAAGGACATGGCAGGATGTGTCCCTCTGGGGTGGGTCAGGGGGTGGTCACAGATGTAATGCTGCAAATCAGCACTGGGGTCATATTCTGCCACCCAGCGCATCCGCTCCAAGATGGACATCCGGGCTGACTTTGTCCCCAAAGCCATGAAGACAGAGTTCACCTCCTCAATGTATCAGAAGACAGAATCTGGCTCCTTCCACATCACCCGTGGGGAAGTGGTAAGTCCCTGGCAGGAGGAAGGTGTGTGAGGGGCTGAGCCCTCCGCTGCATCCCTCCTTCCTTCTTCTCCCAGGGTCCTGCTGGCCAAGCTGTGGCCCAGCAGAGCTGGCTCACCTCTGCGGCATGTCCCTTCCTGCCAGGGCAAGTTCAACGTGCGTGTGAAGGCCCTGGAGTACGTTGGCGGGCAGCACGTCTGCAGCCTGCCCGAGAAGGACCGGCAGGGAGTTATCCACGTGAAACCCACATCCCTGAGCAACAGCCTCAAAGTCACCGCCTCTGTCATCTGCAACGTGTGTCCTTGTGAACAGGTACGTGGCTGTGTAGCAGAGGTGTCCTCCTCCTGGCCAGCCTGGTGTGGGCACATGTTGGATGGCTTGCAGGGGTCCCACTTGACCCCTCACTGTTGCTCAGCAGAGTTTCAGCCTGGCCAAGGAGATCTCCATCACTGCCTGTACCAAGCTGGGCATGTTGTCCTGTGGCAGAGCTCGGTCTCACAGGAAAAACTTTACCCTCAGATCTGCCTTTCTGACCCCTTGGAACTGTCCTGGGGACAGCTCGGTGATGCCTCTTCCCTCTTCTCTTACAGCAGCAAGAGTTCAACTCGCCCAAGTGCAGCTTCCACGGGGACTTTGTCTGTGGACAGTGCATCTGCCACTCAGGCTGGTAAGGACTCCGCCCAGCTCCGCACCCCCCCGGGACGCATCCTGCCCAGGACCCCGTGGTCCTGCACTCCGCCTCGGCCTCTCTCAGCACCCTCTCCTCCCCGCCAGGCGAGGGGACACGTGTGACTGCTCCCCGGCGGCGTCCCCCAACCTGGAAGCCTGCGTCCGGCCCGGGGACACGGAGCCGTGCTCGGGCCGGGGCGAGTGCCTCTGCGGGAAGTGCCACTGCTACTCCCAGGACCTGACGCAGCGTTTCGACGGGGCCTTCTGCCAGTACGACGTGCTGCAGTGCCCCCGCACCTCCGGCTTCCTCTGCAACGGTGAGAGCGCCCCCAGCACCCCGGCCGGGGGGTGAGCTGCGTCCTCTCCGTCCCGCTGGCACAGGCAGGGTGTCCCTGGGCTGCTGGCACTGGATTCGGGGGGTTGCGCAGCTTATCGTGGCATCGCAGAACGTTTGGGTTGGGAGGGACCTCCATAGGTCGTCTAGTCCAACCCCCTGCTATAAGCAGGGACATCTCCAACTCGATCAAGCTGCTCAGAGCCTCCTCAAGCCTGACCTTGAATGTCTACCGAGATGGGGATTACACCACTTCCAGGGTCAACCTATTCCAGGTAATCTATCGCCCTCATATTGAATAAATTTTTCCTAAATCTAACCTAAATCTACCCTTTTCTAGTTTAAAGCCATTACCCCTCATCCTGTCGCTACAAACCCTTGTGAATAGTCCCTCCCCTGCTTTCTTGTAGGCCCCCTTCAGGTACTGGAAGGTCACTATAAGGTCCTCCTGGAGCCTCCTCCAGGCTGAACAGCCCCAACTCCCTCAGCCTGTCCTCACAGGAGAGCTGCTCCAGCCCTCGGGTCATTTTTGTGGCTCTCCTCTGAACACACTCCAACAGCTCCACGTCTTTTTTGTGTTGGACGTCCCCTTACTTCCGATGGGGACTCCGTGCTTGCAGACGTTCAGGGAGGGTGCTGCGGAGTCCATTTGCACCCCAAAGGCAGCGGGGGAGGTGCAGAGAGGGCCGGGGCGGCGGCCGGCACGACCCCCCGTGTAATCCCCGCTCTCCCGGCAGACCGCGGGCGCTGCTCCA